TGTGTCTCCTTCTACCTCCACTTCTTCTATTTTAGCAATTTTACGCACTTCACTTTCTTCCTGTTTCTTGTATTTACTTTCACCGAGCAGACATTTTTCTTTGAATTTCTCTCTTTCATTTTTTTCAACCTTCGCAAATGCCTTTTACTTATCATTTTTATCTTTTTACCTTTATTTTATCAACATTATTTATATTTTATTATGTAAAGGTACTCCTCACTTCGGCAGAGCKTTTTGTAAAACTAATGGAAGAATAAGAAGAATGGAAGAATAGAAATGCAGCACTAACAAAAAACGAAGAAGAGAAGCAATATATATTGCAAACAGTAACTGAGTATAGGAAAAAATACGGTAGCATTAATAAATCATACTTTTGCGCTTAAGTTTAAAATATTATAAAGAATATTAGTCATTTAACGTAAGTTAATTTCAATATACTAATATACTAAAGCCATATATGAAACATTTTACTTATATTTTCGTGCCTTGTCTCTTGAAAAGTCCATATAAACCGGTTTTAGCCACTTTAGTGGGCACGTGAAACGCCTTAACCTAGGGCAATCAGTTTAAAATTTTGGAATTTCGTTATTGGCATAAAAAGGAAAAATTTGCGGGGGCGGTACACTCTTTGCAAAAAAAATTTTTTTCCCATATAAAAAAAGACCAGTCTAATGTATGAAAATTGAAATGAAATGCGATTTACATATAATTTTATTGTAATATATTATAATAAGTTGTTTAGGATATTATGATAGTCTGTCACATATGTATATACACATATAGCATATCTACATACTTATATGCAAATTTATAATATATTATCAAACATATAAAATATTTAAAAAGTAGCTCTTATTTGTACTTTAACTACAAATGTTACTTTGAAAATATCATAATTTATTTATGAAGTTATCATTTTTGCATGCATTCACAAAAATTCGCAAAATAATATTCAATATCAATTAATATGATTGCATGTAAACGTATAGAGTTATATGCAAAAGGCTAACATTCGTTTGCTATACGAATGTATATTTCTGAGCATAATTTTCATTAAATGCTCTGCTCTGTTCACGCGCCACTGTTAAAGTTTCTCCTTCTTAGCTAGCTGTGGTGAAACGCACTCATCGCATTTTGTTAGTTTTTGACAGTTTACACGCTTGTCCGTTGCAATTATTTTGTTTTCTTTGTTTCTTTTGGTTCTTCTGTAAAATATGGACGTAAAGTAGCACTGATTACACTTTATCACAAATTGTTTTTTGTTCCACGGATGCCACTATCCAATTTGTATGTGAAATGTCTCGCTGATTTCGAAAATCGAGTAAAATTTTTTTTTTATGGATACGTTTTTGAGATATTTGCAATTTACCGTTATTCGAACAAAAAAAAAAGGTGTCTTCATTTAATCATGTACATCTCACTGACCAGTTGAGCAATCTTACTGCAAATTATAGAAAATAAAAGTGAATGAAATTTCCTAAAAATATTGTCTACTCCATTTTTCCATAGGCCTTATAATTTCCGAGAAATTGATTAATCATTNCCCGTGGGATTTTCAACAAAGTCAGTGTCAACGTTTTCTACGTCCATGACTGTGTCTCCTTCTACCTCCACTTCTTCTATTTTAGCAATTTTACGCACTTCACTTTCTTCCTGTTTCTTGTATTTACTTTCACCGAGCAGACATTTTTCTTTGAATTTCTCTTTTTCATTTCTTTTCAACCTTCGCAAATGCCTTTTACTCATCATTTTTATCTCTTTACCTTTATTTGATCAATTGTATTTATATTTGATTATGTAAAGGTACTCCTCACTCCACTTTCCAAATATGAAACGCTATATTTAATTTATAATTGAATTATCAAAAAGAGCAACTTCCTTCATGTCAAACACGTGGCGAATGAAATGATGTGACAAAAAAATATAAAAGAAATGTCATTGCTTCGTATACGCACGAAGCTTAGCTTTGTTAATGCATTGTTTTTCTGTATCTGTGTTTTTCTTAAATGTAAAGACACCCCGTGCTGCATTACTACATGCTAGCGAGTAAGTACTTACCAGGAAGTACCGAAATCGCTAGTAGAAAGGAGGCTATCGCCACTTCGCATACTGGCGGGGTACTGGCTGATCATGCGATGTGGTGCACAACTGCATGTCGTCAGTTGACGTAACCTGAGAAGTCTCCTGACTGCTTTTATTTATAATTTTCAAACTTAATTTTTCATTTTTTGCTTACATAGGTAAATAGTAACAATAATTATACTTATTAGTATTATTATAATTAATGAGGCACTCATGCCATAAGATACACTTTTGAGATACTTTAGCTCTTCTGTTTCTTTAAAATTCTATCTATTGTGTATTATGAGTTGTTTCTTCTTGTCTATTGTGTTTTTTTAAAATGGTATGATCTATGCTATTTCTTGCGTTAGTGGGTGTACATTTTATGGTTGAGTGAAAGCGATCACTATAGTTACCTAAAACGATCTGTATCTTCAATTCTGTTGAGAGACTTGGATCCTCTCAATTCCTGTTAGTTTTTCTAACAGGATTGAATGCAGCCTCTCAATGTCTGCATTACCTGTATGGGAGTTTGCTTTTGTTTATTGCACTTCGACTCCTTCTGTATTTAAGACCTGAATCAACTGCTCGGCCCTGAATTCGTTGTCCATGATGATTTTCTTTGGTTTCCCAAATTTCGTGAAATGTGCAATTATGATAGCCTTCTTTGCTCTTCAATTTCTGTCAATTATATTGTATGCTGCTGCAAATTTTGTTAGTTTATCAATTACTGTGACAAATGACTGCTTTTTAAAATGAAAAATATCCACATATATTATTTCATTTTTATCTGAAGATGTGTCTGTTGTGTATAATTTCTGTTGCTCTGTTTTGTACATTTTATGAATTGCAACTTGCTATTGCAAGAAAACATGATTTAATTAGTAGTTGAATTTTGTGATAATCGGTCTCATCGACTTCTGAAAAAATACCTACTTTGCCCCTATCAATATATCTTCGGAAAATATTTTTCAATATGTTCCCCGTATTAATAGGGTCGATTTCGATTATTTTCCTTCCATGCACTATTTGAACTTCAGTTTGGGTACTAAGTGTTATTATAATTTGGGTCTTATACTTGTTGACAATTTCCTCTTCTGCGGAATGTATTGTATCTGACATTTCTAAATTGGATTCTTTATCATTACATTCTCCATTTTGGAGAGTTTGCAGTTCGGCTTAAAAAATCTGCTACTACATTATTTTTCCCTTTCTGATATTCGATTTCGTAATTAAACTTTTGCAGTTTCAATAGCCACCTTTGGTGACGTTGTGAAAACTCCCTTCCTTTATATTTATTTTTTAAAAATACTATCAGGCGATGATCAGTTACAATTTTAAATTTTGTGACACATATGCACGGCCTGAAATATGTTATTGAATATATAATGGTTAGGAATTCTTTACCTGTTGTATCATATTTCTGTTCGTGGTTATTTAAAGTTCTGCTAATGTAGCACACTGGCTGACCTTATTGAGAAAGCACTGCGTTGTAATGGTAAACTTCTTATCATATTCAGGAAATTTTAAAATTGGATGTGATGATATCAGTGCTTTCAAATTTTCAAACCTAGCTATGTACTGCGGATCTCTTGAATTTATTTTGTAACCTTTTTTTTAAATATTAATTCATAAGATATGCAATTTTTGAGTAGTCCCTAATGAACTTTCTATGATAACCAGTGGCTCCTAAGAAACTTTTTAATTGTTGTTAGGTATTTAGGTCTAGGTATTTAAAATTTTGTATTGCTGCTATATTGTCCTGATTTGGATTAATCCCCTCTTTTGTTAAAGTATGCACCAAGGTTTTTGTTACCCTCTTTAGAAAACTGAATTTATCGACTTGAATTTTTAAATTATGTTCCTTTAACTTTGAAAAAATTTTCTCTAATGAGTTTAAATGTTCCTCTAATGACGCTGAAAAGATTAATACGTCGTCCAAGTAAACGACACATATCTCATTTATGTATTCCCTTAATATGTCCTTCATTAATCGTTGAAAGGTAGCCGGAGCAGTTTTTAGTCCGAAGAGCATTCTTATATAGTCGTATAATCCCACCGGAGATACAAAAGCTGTCTTTTCAATATCCTTTTTATCCATTAAAATTTGATGGTAACCTTTGGCTAGATTAAGAGTGCTAAAATACTGCGCCTTGCCCAACTTGTCTAAGATTCCATCAATGGCATTAATGGCAAAGCATATTTATCATCGACNTAGTCGTATAATCCCACCGGAGATACAAAAGCTGTCTTTTCAATATCCTTTTTATCCATTAAAATTTGATGGTAACCTTTGGCTAGATTAAGAGTGCTAAAATACTGCGCCTTGCCCAACTTGTCTAAGATTCCATCAATGGCATTAATGGCAAAGCATATTTATCATCGACAGTTATTTGATTTAGTTTACGGTAATCGATTACTAACCGAAATTTTTTATTTCCCACGCTATCACATTTTTTTGGTACTATGATAATAGGTGAACTATATTTACTTCTACTTTTCCGAATTATACCTTGTTTTTCTAGCTCCCTAATTTTCCTTATGGCTTCTTCCTCATGTTTCGGAGGTAACCTATATATCTTTGAATTGATTTGCTGGCTTGTGGTCTTTCTTATTTCGTGGACCCCCGTTTTTGTGTTTATCAGCGCATCTCCTTCTTTATACATAAATTTTTCATACTTCTTTAGCAATTTTTCAACCTTTTTCATTCATTTGATTTTAAATGATCCAATTGAATGTTTTGCATTTTACTTTCTTGCAATGCATATACTTGCTCTTGGATAGTTTTTGAATAAAAACGGAATTTTAACACCATTTTTAAGTTCAATTTCTTCGTTTTCAATATCGATTGTATTGAAATTATTAAATATATTATAAAATCGTTCCTTAGTAAAAGATCGTACGGTTTTTCAAAGTCTATTTTCAACCATCTCATCTTAGCATTGTCAGGGTATTTAAATTCTAGCGGACATAATGTCTTAACTCTTTCGTTAGACGCTCTTATTTCACCATTCAGTGTACTAATTATTGTTTTATTTTCATAATACTAATAGTAGAGCCTGGGTCTACCAATGCAGATGTGTATAAGAGACAGGTATTATTGTAATATCATTACACTTAAATTCACAAGCGTTGAAAAAAATACAATTCCTACTTAATTTTAGTTTTTTTAATAACGTATTATCTTCATATTTATAATGTTTTTTATTTATTGTTAAAATTTTTTCATCCTCTTGAGTTATTTGCAATTTTCGTTTCTTTGGTAGAGGCAT